GCGCAGCGCCAGAAACAGCGTTCCTTTTTCCTGAATCGCACCCAGCTTCAAACAGAGCCGGAGCCGGGCCCAGGACCGTCCGGCCAGAGCCTGCCCGCAGGACACCAGAGGTGAGAACCGTTTCCTTCCAGTGCTGCTAACCCCGACCCCGCGCAAAACCCGGCCTCGCTCGCGCCGTGCGAGTCGGCGCCATCCTCAGTGGGAGCGCGCGGTCGCTCGGATCCTCCGCCAGCGCTGACCTAGACTGCAGTGGGCACCACAGCCATGGAAGGGCCGCGCTGTCCACATGTTGGTAGGCGAGCGCTAACTGCCACGAATTGCCAGCACAGCCATAACACACAAGCATCCACGTTTCCATGCCCTGAGAACGCTCCTCCTCGTCCCTCATCCTGCAAAGCTCTCCAAACACAACTGCTGCTCCAGGTGCTGCCGGCCCAGCTTTGACCGTGGCTCACCTCTTGGACTGCCCCTTGGCCTCTTTCTTCCAGGGACTCCCCTCACGATGCAGAGCAGCCCGGCCCCAGCAGCATGCAGGCAGGGCCTGACTTAAACTGGATGGAATCAGGCCAGGCTTTGACCTTCATTGGCCACCAGGTAGGGGCGACTTGCTCGTGAGCGTGACTTAAATTAACCGCAGGTTGCACAGAGCATGTGTTATAAAGCAAAACAAGGGCTTCAATCTCCGTTGCTGAAAAAGGCAGCTTTTCCAGCAAGAAAGCAGCTGCAAGTTTCAGGCATCCAGGGTTAACTTAAGAGTTGCATTGAGCAAACGTTCTTTAACATGCCCTGAGTCAAGAAGGGCCTCCCTCTCTTTATGTAACAGAACTGGAGTTGGGAACACATACCCCACCAGCCTGTTCAGAGATGCTCTTAAAAGCATCACTTCTTCATTACTGTTTTATGCTTATGTTCACAGGAAACAGAAGGAAAAGGAAATGTTCACACAGGTAATCACACCCACTGCATGACTCTTAGTTGCTGCCCTACTGAAAGCTCTTGGCTTGCAATGTAACAGGGATAACCAGAAGCAATTCGAAGCAGTTACAGCATAACCAGAAGGTGCTCACTCTTGTGCTAGTATTTGACTAGAGGAGAAAACACTCCTGTTACTATGAACAGTTGGTGCTGCTGCTGTGTGGAGTGCATGGTTTGGGGTGTGAACTGCCATTGCCTTAACCGAGGCGAGCCAGCTGCTTTTTCTTATAAAGCCCAAAGTTTACTTTTCCTTCACCACGTACTTGGTGGGGTGAGCTGCAGGGGAAGAGGAGGTGCTTTTCCATCTCAAGTTTAGGGTAAGTTCAGTGGCTGAATACCTTTATCCTGTGACTTCTAGGAGCAAAACCTCCATGGCTAATGGAGGAAGAGGAGGGAAGTAAACCACAAATTGGACCTTCCTATGAGGAATTTCTCAAACAAAGTGAGCACCTTGTATACATTTCAGTTAAGCCTATGTTCGGCTTACCACACTAAAGAATCAAAAGCAATTTGACTGAAAAACTTCTGCTGAACAAAGTGTTGTTTTGTTTGTTTGTTTGTTTGTTTTTTAGAGGAGAAGCAGAAGCTGAAGAAGCTCCCAGCAGAGCGTGTGGGTGCCAACTTTGACCATACATCTCAGACCGGCGACAACTGGCTGCCTTCCTTTGGGCGGGTCTGGAATCATGGCAGGAGGTGGCAGTCCCGGTGAGCTCCGGGCAGCAGGGACCCAGGCCAAGGACAGGGCCTGCAGCGTCCAGCCACACGGGAGGGTGGTGCTGCGCAGCGCTCATCCCGCAGCAGCGCACATGTAGCTGGCGGGGGTGAGCACGGTCACAGCTGCAGGGGCTGCACATACCAAGGTGTCTGCCTGGTTAAGCCTGGCTCACCTTTCAGAGCCATGTGCTGTCCTGCTGGTACCTTTCCACGTGGTAGAAATGCGTGTCAGCTAGCTGGGGAGACTCTCATGGAGATAACTGAAAAGATACCTGATCTAAACCACTGCACAGTGTTGTCTTCCTGGTTAGATGAGGCAGCATTTGTTACCTCTTTCTAAAGGCTGTTGCATTCTGAGTTCTATGCTCTCTTTCAGGCATCAGTTTAGAACTGAATCGGGGGAAAAGAAGAAAAAAAGGTGATCAGGAGAGGAGCACCAAAGGAACCAAGCTCTGGCTGTTGAGGGGAGGCAGATGGACCACTGGTAGCCACAGCTTTGTTGCTGCAACTGGTGCCAGGTTCTGCACTCTTGTTTAATATATAGGCCTGGATGTGCTCAGCCCCTGGAAGGCAGCATGATCGCGCCCTAACGCTGCACCGAGCAAGTTCTGAAAGCTCCTTGGCTGTTTTGTCAGGGACACGCAGTGTGTATTCTGGGCACCCATGTCTGAAGCTACACAAAGGCACATCCTGCCAGCAGGAAAGGTCTCCTGCCCAAAGCATACCTTCAGAATCAGAGAGCCCAGCTTATATAGCACATGCTGCCAGTGTCCTGCACTGATGTGTTGCATGATATCCTGTTAATATTTTTAAAAGTGTCTTTTTACCTGTTAGTAGATGAGCTGAAACTCCTTTCAGAATGAGTTTTCGCTTCAGGGGCAACTGATGCCATGCACCCTGTTTTCATTCTAATTTACATTACTTTCACCTTTTCTGCCTCACCCAAAGGTCAGTAGAAGAAAGGAGGCCTTAAAGACCTTTGCTGTGTGCAGCTCTTACTTTCAGCTTCAATAAAATATTTACAGCCTTATTTAGAGCTGCTTATCTGTGTCCCCCCACTAGACACCAACCTGACAGATGCTGTGGCCTCGTATGCAGAGACCTGTGTAGAGGGAGTTTAAATAAATAATGAAAATACCCCACTGGCACCTTTCCTACCTGTGATGTAAGAAATGGACCTCAATCCTCCTCCTACTAGAACTGAATCTGGTTTAACATCACCAGTGCTGTAGGTGATGCAAAAGCTCCTTCCCTTTTCACAATATAAAAGCATGTTCCTGCTACATTGGTGATGCCACATAAATGCAAAAACAGCTGGTGGAGGAAGACAGCTGTGACCTGTACCAAAATTCACTGGCAATAATGAAACGTACACATTCATGAAAAAGCAAGAGAAGTTATTTCAGTAATTTTATTGTGTGCACCTACATATGACACATTGATGAGCATCCCTGAAGAACCTGCAAAGCAAGAAGTCCCACATCAGACAACTGGGTCAAGGGAGGCCCAAAGCAGTCTGAAAGCTCTGTTCCAGCAAGAACCCTCTGTCACCGCACCCTGCGGCAGCAGGGAGAACGTTGGCCCACAGACGGGAGAGCATGCGTGGCTTCCCTCTTCCTATGGGCAACAGGGACAAATTCGCAAACTGCTCTTTAATTCCGGAGAACTGATGTTTCCAGTAACGCCACTGGGAAGCCACATTCTCCAGATGTCTGGAGAAACAGCCTGTCTGCAGCAACGCAGCAGCTGTCTGCCCCGCGGCACGCAGACCCGCTCCCCGTCAGAGCCCAGTGCCTCACCTCCCTATGCGTCCTCCCCTGCGGCAGGCGCGTCTCCGCCTTTTGTGTTTCTGGTGTAGATCACCTGCGCTCGGTGCTTGGACACCAGTTTGATCAAACCTATAAAAAGGAAATTATTTGAGCGGGCCTGTACTGCAGGATGCCGGGCACGTTGTGCTTCCTTTGTAAGCGCAGACCGGTCACTGCGTGACAGGCACCCCAGGACCCCCAGTACTACACACACTTATACAAGACTTTGGTTCAGGTGTGGCGTCAGTGACATCCTGGCTGCATTTTCTCAGTACAGCAATGCAAGTGACTGCAGTGGAGCCGCTGCTGACTTTAGAGCACTTTCGAAATGCAACCTAAGGCAGCAGCTTGTCAAAAACCCCACCAATTTGTGTACTTCAGATGCAGCACGAAATCCTCTAGTTGAACAAGGAGAAGAAAAGATAGACTTCAAGCACCCTTCTGTTTTTCTGCAGTTTTGAGTGCTTACCTTTGCTGAGCAGCTCCTGGAGGGCAGCTCTAGCCAGGGAGCCTCGAATCTTCAGTCTCTCCGAGACAACTGCAGGCGTAATGAGCTTGTAGTTGGGCACTTCTTTGCACAGTTTGTCGTAAGTGGCTTTGTCAAACAGGACAAGGTTGTTCAACTTGTCTCTCACTTTCCCTTTGGACCACTTCTACTCGATGTGAAAAAAAGAAAACCCCTAAGCCATCTTCTAAGCAGTAACAAAAGATCGAGCTTTAGGATGCCCCAAGAACTGCACCACTAAACGTTTCCATATCACATCCCAGACTAAAGAGCTACTGGCATGTACAAAGCTGTCTCTATAAGCGCACGTGTTGCACATAATACCGACAGTAACTCCACACAAAAGAACTAAACCGTTTTGTTACCCAGATTTTAACGCCGTCACATGCAACTTGCTGCCAGATGAAGCAGCAGCTCCTCAACGATATGATGGCTCACACCTTCCCCGCCCCATCGCAGGGTCAGCAGCACCCGGGCCGCCGCTGTTGAGGCCCCGTCTCGCCGCACGCACGAAAGGCCTGGGGAGCCCCAGTCTCCTCAGAGACACGGCGCTCCTGCGCCCCTTCGCTCTGCCCGCCGGGTGACCCGGCTGCCTCCCC